TGTGTGTGTGTGTGTGTGTGTGTATGTATATATATTATAATAAGCGAATGTGGATATCTTTTCGATTAGCTCTAGAATAGCTTAATGAAAAAAATATAATGATATATATACATCTTACACTTTGATAATCATCGTGCAATAGATGTATGTATATACCTGGTACGAAAATCCGTGTGGTATAATATATGTGTTTACACGTGCACATCATGGTACAAGTATACAGATACAGGCGTGTAAGTTCCCTCTTATACAACTTCGCGCAGATTAAGTCGAGGTTATCGTGATCAATATACATCCTTGAGGAACTCAAGATTCACCTACTTGTCCGTATGTCTTGAATCCAAGAAGCGCACAATATCGTTTTTGTGGTTGCGGTACATGCCCTCCACACTGTCTGAAGGAAATCCCATGGCTATGATGTTCTCCGTTATGTATGTAAGATCTAAATCGAACCCATCCTCCTGGAACCTCCTTTTCTTCTTGGACACCAACCGTTTCATTACATTCGTCATCTTGCCGATCGGAAGCCAATTCTGGCTGAGATGTTCGTTTCAACCTACAGTGAGAACTACGGACAAGGGTCAAGGCTGCTTGCTGAGTTGTTGACATGAAACATCAATATGTTTATGAGTATAGCTCGCGAGTTGCGCCTACATATAATCACATCATATAGCTGCTTGCAATCTCGTAACTCGTTCGTGTTATATTTATACTATGCTGTGTCCCCTTTGCCCTCTGGGTATATATTATGATTTACATTCATAAATACATATCACCAAAGTTCGAATAGTTCGAATATTTGTTGAAGTCTATTTTGTCCCAAAACCTTTATCTCAAGATCGTTCATTCTCTTCCTCTCTCTCTCTCTCTGTGTGGGTTTTGCTGGCTTTTATTTTAAGAGCAAAGCATAGCCTTCTAAATTGAACACAACGAGTGGAAACATAGCCTTCTAAATTATATAGCTCAATACGTAGTGATATGTAGGACATAACCATCTTGTAATTCAATAGGCTATAGGCGGGAGTCATCAAAACTTCACAGTTTTACAGCTGCTGGTTGTACGACGCCGGTGTTTAGGTAGATTTAGGTGTATAGGCGATCGAGGTTTGTAATAACCAAACCTCGTGGGTCCAAGGGTTCGCTGGGCCTGATTAGGTCACGACAGAGTTTGCGAGCATCGGGGACGTTGACACAGGTGTCAATGCCTGCGTACTTTCTAACTGAGGTTTCATGGCGTCTAGTAGGCAGCATGGATCGTCTCTCGGCAGCCATAACCTTTCCAAGGGACGGTAGGGGGCCTGCGAATGAAGACAAACCGCATCGAGGTGCACCGTGCACAGTCCATGTGGGCTTCGTCTGATGTCAGTAGGGCCACTGCTGCAGATATGTGAGGTTCGGAGTGAAGTGCCTGTGGTTGGGCCATAGTTCCGACTGGGTAACATGCCACAACTGAAGAAAATAGAGTCCTGACTCGTGAGGATTTTAATAGTAGTCTGTGGTTCGATTGGTGGATGCGGCCGAACACATCAGAACACAGTCAGGCGCTGGTTTGGGGAAATGTGCTGTGGTATGGAATGGTAGAGGCGGATGCGGAGTCCAATGGTGGAGAGCAGGTAAGTATATGCTACTTGAGTTATCAGTTTCTCGTTCTTGCTCGTTTTTGTGTCAGGTTGTCTGAGTGTATCGCAGACTGTGCGTAGCCAGGTTTACAGCTAGCCCGTGATGATAGAACTGTCAGTAGACTGATGAGCTGCTGTTTGTTGGTTGGTACTGGTCGGCCGAATCGTGCGTAGACTCGTTTCTACAGTATTAACACTGGCGGAGGTGTTCCTAATGTTTTTCCGTCCGATGTTGGCCATTTTTGAAGCCCATCACAACTACCCACAATTACTTACGTGGCTGTGTAGTTGTATGTATACTTTCGTCAGTACAATGCAAATAAATGAGGCTTTATTTGATACTCTTCGTTATATTGAGCCAGTGGTAGCTGAGTATTTCAAGGATTGGTCTTTGATGTGGCGAGATTGTCGTTATTGAGGTAAGCTTTATATTCCCGTCGATTGTAGGAGAAGTTGACGGTACAATGCCGCCAATTCAGCTGCTGACTGTATGATCGTGTTGCGGGAGTGTTCGGCCGTATCGGATTCAAGAGGTAGTTCGTAAGAGAAATGGTGTGTGCACATTCCTTAATTATTATAAATATAGTTGTTGGTCAATCGGCTAGGTCTACAACTAATAGTGCAAATTCCACACATACGTTTTTCGCATGATATTTCGAAAAAGAGAATAGTGGCACGAAGGGCGGAGGTAACTTCTATACGATTGAACGAAATTAGGAAGGTGTAGTCTATACAGCACTTCAAATGCAAATAGAAGTTGCATAGCCTTGCATCAGTGCCACTTGCACGTGTTTTCATTCTTTTCAGTTTTATATGCACAAGCATCAATCTTGATCAACAGGAGATTATTGGATAGTTTGAGTCTACCTGTTTTTTCTTGATAGTGAGTATCGTCGCATTGAACATACTTAATTAAGCGAGCGTACTCTATGCTATCATGATCTTTGACCGGATTAATTCTGTATACTGAATTGAAATTCTCTCTAACATCTATCCTCTTAATGGGCACCAAAATATACAATTCCACACGGTGTATTGTAAACCATCGACCGATTTCATGAAGGTCCTACACTGCCACTCGCAAAATAAGCGACCTGATG